GGATCCTTGAGCCTTGATTTCCCATCTAAAAAGGGAAACAAGGGAAAATTGGTCACCTTAACAGGTTTCTCCTTTTGTCTAAGCATCCCCAGATGAAGAGAAACTCTAGTGGGAGAGGGCGTCCTGCTCTCCCTTGCTCCTTTCACTGCCATTGGGTAGAGTCGTGGAGGATTTACAGATAGATATCTCAGTTGCACCCACCCCCCTGAGATGATCTTTGACCAATCTCTCATCTATTTGACTTGCCTGTTTGCCCTGCGACCCAGGTAGGCCTAGTTCTCCTCTATCAGCTGAACGCTTGTAATTAAAAAATAACTCTATCAAAGTAACCAAGAGGGCTTGCATGGCCAGAAGGAGGACCCCTTTAGAGGCATGGATGGGGACTCTTGATGAAATAGACTTTTGTTCCCCCTATATATCCTGTGAGGCCTATATGCTTTCTATGAAAGGAGAGAGAGAGAGAGAGAGAGAGAGCATCTGGAGGCTTTTGCTCTGGTAAGGGGCAAAAACGGAGGTTTTTGCTTTTTAACTGTTTTTTTCTTTTCTTTTCCTGAGGGCAGGCTGCGGAACCTGTTTAACCAGCTAATCTGATGCTTGACAAAGACAGTTAAACCTAAATTGGGGACTAGCACTTTCTGATGCCTGTAGGGATTTTTCCCAAACTCCCTGAAGAAAGAAGCTCACTGCTATTTACAGCAAAGACGGGGAGGGGGACACTCATCCTGAACTGCCTGGGAAAGGGGAAGGAGAGGCTGAAGGTTGGGGAAAAAAGAGTTTCCAGGCTCAATGCATGAGGGATTATTGATCATCCCTGCTGTCCAGGTTGATCCTGCCCAAAGGCAGTACTGGAGCACTGGAAGCAAGAGGTGACCTCCACTCTCGGGCCACAGGAAACCATGAAGAAGCATGAGAGATCTGATTGTCTGTTTGCCGCGACATGGCTGGAGGAGGTCCAAGACTTAGCCCCTTTGGGGCCTCAGGGCGGTCAGGAAGTTGCGTCTCCAGCCTTTGGGTGACACCGGGGAGTGCCCCGGCCAGAACACCTTTTGTGGCTTGAAGACAAACTTTCCTTTCCACTGGCTGTTTTGGACCTCCCCTTAAGCTGGTCAGATCTTGAAAGAGAGTGTTAGCATTTAAGGAGAGGAAAAAGAAAAAGCCTCGGTATACTTAAGTCGAGTTCTGCCCACGTAGCATTGGCAGTGCAGTACAAACCCTTGCCCGGCCTCTGAGTTTCCTCAGATTGCCTGCCGTACAGCTGTAGTGGGCTTGAACCTTTTTCTCAGTTTCCCAAGGAAGACAGCGAGAGAGGGAGAAAAGGTCGACCTGAGAGTTCCACCGTAACTAGGCCGTGGTGGGGGGTCTCTCCTGGAAAACAGACTCCACCGGAATGCGGGATGCTCACGGTCACATTCCTAGGCAGTCTTTCCCAGTTTGGCAAAACCTATACCGACCTCAGGTGAAGGCTGGTCCTTTCGTGGTCGCCAAATATTATGCACGGATGACACGCGCAGGAATTTCAGATGCTCAGGGTTCTTGAGCCTGCTCTGAGAATGAAAGCACAGACAGACTCTAACAGCAGAGGTCAGAAAGATTTTATTTGCAGAGAATTTAGTTGGAGAAAAGAGAAGAGAAAGACTGCATATTGAAGAATGCAGGGGGACCCAGAAACCGGTGATCCCATGGGACAGGGTGGGGAGTGGGGTTTTATAGCCAATTTCATTGCCTGATGGCAGAGATGACTTTCAGATGCAAATGGGCATTTCCTAGGGAGGAGAAGTGTCTCCTTGATCACTTATCGCCTTTTGGGACCTCCCGCAGTCCATCCTTCAGTCCTTCAGTTTGAACCAGGGTCTCATGCTTGTTCGGGCAAGGTGTCTACCACCTTGAAGCCCCATCCAACGCAACCCTTATTTTTTGTGATGGTTTTTCTTGAGATACAATCTCGTGTACTATTTGCCTGGAGCTGGCTTCCAACCGAGATCCTCCTGATTTTGGCCTCCTGAGTTGCTAGGATTACAGGTGTGAACCACCTGTGCCTGGCTTTTTATTTAAAAGCACAGTAGTTTAAAGCACAACTAAGTTTAAGCATAACTAAGTTGGGGAAGTGAGACAAGAGGTAAGGAAGCAGATCAGTCACCACTGTGAACAACTGGAGCTCAGTCACTGTGGTAAATCTAGTTGTCAGTATAGTAGCATACATTCTTCATTTATCTCATTGGGAGTCCAGGGAGCTACTGGTGGTAATGACTCCAAATGTTCAGCAGTAGTCACTGGTTTAGGAAGCTCTGGGAGTGTCAGTTCTTCTACAGTTCCGTCTCTTCTGCTGACAGACCAAGCTTTGGCAACCAGACAGAATACTGAGGCAGTAAATGGATGGGAACACCAACAGTAGCTTCTGCTTCCCCTCCCCATATCACCCAAAAGCTCAATGTTTTGTGCAGTCCTTATCTTAGTAAGCAGCAACCCCTCCTTTAACATCTCTCATCCAATCCATTAGTTAGCCTTGTTGGGTCTACCTTAGCTCATAACCAGAATCTGACCTCTTTTATCATTCTCAAGGCTACCTTCTTCCTCCAACTCATAGCTTCCTCAATTAGTTAATTCTCAGCAGAGGAGCTGTAATGATCCATATCAAACCTAAGTCAGTCACATCAGTGCTGTGCTCCAAGTCTGTGAGACATCCCATCATACAGTAAAAGGCCATCTTTTCAGCAGCATATGGAAGGCCCTTGGTGATCTGTGCTCCTCTTATTCAGTGAGTTTACACACATGTATATATGTACATGCACAGTTCTTTTTGACTTTAGCTTTATGTCTAGTCAAAACACTTTTCTTGACCATTCTCTTCATTGTAGGTTCTTTGATTCATTTGTAAATTAGATTCCTTTGTCACAGTTTACATTTCATCTGTACCACTATAGCCTTATTATTTTTTTTAGGTTGACATACAGTAAGTATGGCACACAGTTCCATTGGTTTTGACAAATGAATAGAGCGAGGTATCTCGTTGCCCAGCCCCATTCTCTCCCACCCCCCCAAAAAAATCCCTTTCCTTACTGTTCAGCCCCTGGCAACCACTGACATGTTTTCTTTCCTATAGTTTTGGCCTTTATTAGTGTTATATAAGTAGGGCTTTTACAAAGATGAAGCCTTTTGGGTCTGCCTTCTTTCACTTCATTTAACAAAAAAGTTTTTTTGTTTGTTTTTTAAGTTTTTCCTGTGCTGAGGATGGAACCCAGGCCTCTGGTATGCTAGGCAAGCTTGTCTACCACTGAGCTATATCCTCAGCCCCACCAAAATCTATTTCAGATTATGCCATGTTGTTGGGTGAATCAGTAGATCATTTCTCAGCTGTCCTTTACAATAGATTTAAGTAAAGGTAGAGGTAAATTGATGTAAAGAGAACATTGAATAAAATGCTGGAGGTGGCATATAGATAGAAAAAACTCTCCAACTTGAGTGGCTAAGGGAGCTACTGGGGGTAATGACCCCAAATCTTTAGTTGTTGCTGGTTGTTGGCAGCTCTGGGAGTGCCATTTCTTCTAGAGCTCTGTGTTAGTAAGGCATTTCTTTATGTGATACCTCTGCCAGGATTTAGTCATGCATTCTGGGGGAAGCCACTTAAGCCCTCTCTCCCCAGTTTTTGATAAACAGTAAAATACCTGATCTGGTAGTTGTTAGCTCCTATCTCCCAAAGTAGTGATAAATTCTTTGGGTAACTCTTTTTGTCTCTTAACATTCGACATTTCATTGTTGTGAAGCAGCTGTCACCTCTTTTCAAGGTTGTTAGTCAAACTGCAGTTTTGGACCCCAGAACCCAACTCCTGGCCTCCCACATGTCAGGTTCAGCCACTCACCCCTATATGCCAAATAAAGAGATATGATGTGGGAGGAGGCAAAGTAAGCACTCAGCCTATCTGCAGCCATCTTTGGGGTACATACCTGAGCTTTAGCTTTCAATAAACAAATAATTAGGTCAGGGAACAAGGTATGCAATGGTCCCAATCACAGGTGTGGCCTGGTGATCATTATCTCAGTCCTTGTTCTGGAAGAGGTTCAGGAGTTGTTATGTAGAATCATTGTTGCCTGGCAGGTGGTCTATCCTTAGGGACTCTGTTATTCATAGGGGCCCCTTGTCATGAAGATGTTATCAGTTCTGTCTTCCCTGGAATCCAAGATGATTGCAAAATGGCAACAAAGAGAATGACTTAGAAGCAAAGACATACAAAATGAAGGCCAAGGTTCCAAGGTTTTGTTTTATTTTATTTTATTTTTTTGCTTTTAGTTAATTGTAAGGAAAACACTAAGTACTTCTTACATTAGGACCAAATGCTTTATAAGAGTCACAGTGAAGATATGAGACTCTCTGTAGGAATGCGGTAAACCTTTAGTACCAGGCTTCAGATCATTGACTTGTATTTGGCTAAGCTTGTCAAGCTCCAGATAGTTGGAGCCTGACTTAGAGCTGATGTCTGAGAAGTACTGGTACAGATCTCAGCAAGTTTTCTAGCAACCTCTTTTGAAACTATAACATTTATACTTAAGTCCTGAAGTCCTGTCATTAGGTAGATTTCCCTGGGGTTGTCTGTAAAGATTGACTGTTGTGTCCACAGTTTCCTACGGCCTTCTTGTGATTTGCTGATAGACCATTTTGTCACCTAGTTGACAGTGTGTATTTGAGGGTCATGCATGTTTGAGAATGCTTCACTGGTGACAGAAGCTAACAGAAAATTGGGAAGGAAGCCAGTGATATTTGAGCTTTTTAAAAGATGGACAAATTCGTGATAATTCCTTTTAAATTCACAATTAATGGCTGCTTAACATCCCTGATCAGATTCACCCTTCCTTCCTTCCTTCTTCCTTCCCTCCCTCCCTTCCTCTTTTCCTCCCTTTAGGATAGGCAGGTAATGAAAGGAAGAATTTGATTGAGAGTACACAATTGCTGTGGTTTGTGTTTACATGTGGCATATAGTAATGTTTATTTTACTTTTTACTTGTAGTAATGAATGTTATAACTATTGAAGATTATAAGAGCACATACTGGCCAAAATTGGACGGTGCCATAGATCAACTTTTAACCCAGAGTCCTGGTGACTATATCCCCATATCCTATGAACAGATATACAGGTAAGTCAAGATTTAATTTGCCTGGGTTTGAGAGGATATATTGAGATTTAGGGCAATTTGAGTTATGGTAGCTCACATGCATGTAACATATAAAATACATAAAGTGAAGCTCTTAAGAATCTACATTCTACATTTGTGGATGGGAGGCTCGAGTTATACTTTCTGATTCTAAAGTGGTTTTCAAATCAAGATAGAAGTCTACCTAATAGATTTCCTCCATCTCAGGCTGCCATCTCCCCTATACTTCGTGAAGAAACTGGAGGTCGGTAAAAAAGGCAGGAACGACTGAAGTATCTGATGGAAAAATACATGTTTTTTAGTTTCACAGAGAAACCCTACTTTAATCTGTTAATGTTTACTGACACAAAATTCTAATTCTTTTTGGTTATTTTATTTCCCAGCTCCTGGTAAATGGAAGCAACAAATTAGGCATTGGGGTGGGATATGAGATCAGCACAGTGACAGGAAGAAGAAGTGACAACTGTGTTGTTCCACACAACAAAGAGATTGTATTGCAAACATTTTTGTGAGTTAGAAACTTTCTATGGTTATCACTCTCTCTTCCTTATTTGACATTCATTAAAAAAAGAGAGAGTGAGAGAGAACCTGGTTTATAAGGAGTTGTCTTATTCAGGTCCTAGATTATCACTGAGCATTAGATTATCTAGTGCTGACTAATGTGTACTACTCAGATTATTTGCAATTAATGTATTATCTTTCCAAGCGTTGACTGGGGGGAGGGTGAACTTTTATTGTAAGTTATGATCAGTTACTTGTTTCGGGGCTAAATGAGTTGATCAGTGGTTATATATTGAAAGTGTGCTTTAACCTTAGACTGAGGTAAGTGCTTCTTCATTAACTTGGTTGCTGTGGCTTTTTGTTTTTTTCCTGCAGTTGTGTGTATAAGTGTGTATGCCAGCAGCATTCGGAGCAGATGTATAGTGACCTGATTAAAAAGATAACTCATCACTTAGAGAGAGTCTCAAAGGAGCTGCAGGTAAAGAACTGATTGTATTGGTTTTTTGCCTCTTTGGGTTTTTCTGGCTAGTTGGAATTAGGCTGTCTAATATATACTTGGAAGCTTGTTAATTTGATTATGATACTGACCAAATCATCTAATTTTGAGAATAGATTACTAGTTTGAAAATTTGACACATTATGCAAATTTTTGGATTGAATATATTTCAGATCTTAACTGAATCTGCTTAACCATGTCAGCATTTCTTTTGTTTAAAGCCATTTTTTTCTCTGTTAATTTCAGTATTTAGTGGGTTTTATAATATAAAAACTTAACTATAATTAAGTTCTTTCTGGAACTTTTAGTATGAACTTTGAAGAGTGGTTTGCTTACTAGTTTGTAATACTTGCCGATATGAACAATTGAAGTGAACTCTTGGTAAAGCTCCTATAGTAGCATCATCTCAGCTCTTAAAATCTGGGCAAATGACAGAAATCTTTTGCTTAAAGGGCACTTGGCTCCTGATCCCCACCTTCCCTTTATAGGCCTGCCTCAGTAAAGCTTCCAGTGCTTGAAGGTGAGGTACTAACTTTATGCCAGGCCAGATCCCACCTGAGTTCTGCTGTAGAAGTAATGTGTTGGACAAAAGTCACTCAGCAGTACAGTACCAGGGTTACCCACCATTAGGAAGTACTCCAACAGTTATGAAAGGACCACACTTTTCTAGCAAGCGTTAGGCAGCTTGTTCTTGGCTGTTCCTCACTTGCCTTGTGGCCTGAGGTATCTTAGTTCTTGTTCACACAAACAGTTGTTGTTGCACTAACTTTTTTTTTTTTTTTTTTTTATAGTCAGAGCTAAATTTTACCATATTACTATATGTGCCTTTTGTTAGTGTAGATTGTTTTCATCCTTTTGCCACCAAATACAAAATAATGGACTTAACAGATATATTTAGTGCCTAGGCTTTGTGTATAAATCATAGTTGAAATCTAAGAACTGTGCATTACAACTTTGAATGATTTGCTTTCTAATTCTCCATGCTCTTCCTGAATTCTCACCTGAATACAACTTATTGCCAAATCCTATTTACTTCCTGTCTCTCTCTAATTCAGTCTGTTCTGTTCACTTGCTAATCCTCTGGTTTCTGTCACTGTCATCTTTCAAGTATCATACTAAAATGCTCATTTCAGCTGGTTGCTCTACTTATTGTATTGATGTAGTTAAGCAGTTTTTGATTGGTGGATATTTAGATTGCTTTTAATCTTTGGCATTATTAATACTGCAGTGAACAATCAGTCTTGTAAGTAATGCTACTTACTAAGTCCATCTTCCAAGTCACAAAAGTTGTACCAAGCAGTAGTGTACCTCTTGATTAAATAAGCTGACATCACCTTGTAAATTTTCTCAACATCAGTGAGAATTGGCTTTACTAAAATATCTGTGGTCCCCTTACACTAATTGTAGGATAGTTTTTCTTCTGTTTCCTGCCCGGCAAAAGTCTCTTCCTTCTCTTCTTGTTTCAGTGTTAAACACATTTCTGTCCACCTGTGGGAAGCCTTCCCAGAACTCCTGCACTCCGTTCAGAACAGAACAGAACAGACCAGAACACACTGTTAGTGTTTCTTTGTTTATGGACCCATAACTTCTTGGCAATAACAACTTTATTAGGACAATGATTATATTACTGTTTTTGCATTCATGTCTGACTACTTCACTGGCCCTCCTTTGAGGCAGGGACTCACTCTCTTGCTTGTCTTTTTGTCTTTAGTGTCGTGTGCGAATACAACTAAGCAAATGTTTGTTGGGTGTATGCTCAGCAACTAAATGTGACGTGTACCAGTGGAAAGAGTAGCATCATTAGCGTCACATGGTCACTCATCTTCACATTTTTTAGATGCTTAGGCATTTTATTCGTGTAATCTTTATAGAGATCTCAAGGCAGTTTTCATGGGGGACAGAACAAGAGTGTATGCCAGGTCTCATGAGCTAGAAGCATTATATTTGGGTGGAACATTTTGTTTGCAGCCTGGTTTTTGTAAGGAAATTTTTGAGCCAAAACAAGAGCATGGAATGAATTGCATTTGGCATATGAGCAGAGATTGAGTGTTGGAGTTGATTAACCAATAAATTGGACCTACAGGGCAACAGCCTCTGTCAAGGGGTTCCTAAAATAGCTGCTGGTTTGTACAGTTTATTCATTAGAATGACTTACTTATCATATCCAAAGGCATATCCTGTTAGGGACACTGAAAACTTCTGTGTGAAATAATGTTCCATATTCCACAGTTAATTTTGGTATTGACTTAAAAACTAGAGAATTCTGTTTTCAGATACTTTAATAGATTAATTTATTAAACCTAAATATTTTTATATGATCATGTAATATACCGTGTGTATCTCTTATAAAAAACACATTTCTTTCATTTTGCAAACAGTGACTTTCTACCCCTTCAATAACTTTAAAAAGGTTTTGGTTGTTTAATTAATAAAACTCCTTAACAAATAGTCATGGTTTTCTCCTTACTATTGTATTTCACTGGATGCATATCTGAACTTTTTTAATTCATTGCTAGATTATTTGAAATTGCAACAGTGGATTCAACCTTCATTTTTAAAACTATTCTGACTTAACTTCTTTCTTTAAATGTTATAATGAAATGCTGTGCCTATTTTACTTTTTTCTGTATTTCCAAAGCCTCTTAAGTTTCCATTTATGATGTCTTGATAAACAAATGAATGGAAATAAATAACTGTAAAGAGAAAAATAGTTTACTGATTTGGTATATAATATTCTGATTAGTTCTGGAAAGTTCTGTTGAAACTGTATTCCCTTAATTGTTTGCCTCTATAGTCTCTTCTTTTTTGGCTGAATAGTCTCCTGAAAACCCTAATTTTATGGGTGTACAATCTTGTTCAGAAACCTAAAGTTCCTGTTATTGCCCATTTCAATCAATCACAGTTAGTTTGATCATTATTTAAAACAAAAAACCCCACAAAAACCAGAGCCGGGTACTTGGTTGCAGGTATTCCTAGTGGGAAATCTGATGTAGCTGGCGCTTTCCTACCCAAATAGACAAGATACTCTATAGGTATACAGTAGTGGTATGTAATTGATAAGACTAAGGTAATTTGAATCATATGTCTTGCAGAGAACAATTTTTAAAACTAGACTAGAGAGATCAAGTAATAAGCAATTATAGGACGAAGATCTGGGAGAAGAAAACTCCTAGAAGGGAGCCTAGCATTTGAGCCATCTCTGTTATGGTCACTGATTTATTCTGAAAGAGGAGGCTAGTAGACTATGAAACCCCCCAACCTTGTTGGGGTGCAGTGATAAAATTGAAGGTTAAGGCCAGTCAAGCTGAAGGATCACATCCCACGTCTAGTAAAAATAGCAAGCTATAGACTTCCTTCTTACTAACTGAAACCTTATCCCTGCTTTGATTAGGTTGGTGTGGGTTTGCTGGCACCTCTAGTCACTTACCAGAAGCAAAAGTTGTTTCTCTCTGAAGAAAGATAGCATTGTCCTAGACATGTAATTGTTCTGATCGTGTCATAAACAGTGTCTGGCGCTCAATCAGAAATAACAACCCATAAGAAGAGGTTTAGGTGATCATAAAGCCAGGAGCAACGGCAAGACATATTTTTAACAAGCATTGAAAAAATTCATCACTAGCAGTCTCTCACTTTAAAGAAATAATAGTGTTCTCCATATAGAAAGGTGATGTTTCTTGGTAAAAACTTGAGAGGTTAAGGTAGGAATGAAGAACAATAATAAAAAGGATAAAACGTGAATGTAGATCAGTAATGGTGATTTCTTGTAGGATCTTAAATGTACATGTAATCAGAGCTCATGAGAGTAGTGTGTGGAAGGTAGGAAGCAAATTGATGTTAAAAGTTTGAAGGCCCTTGCATTACTTGAAAAGTAGAAAAGTACTTATTTTAGACTGTGAGAAGGCAAGAGTGCAGTCTGTAGTCTTATTGTAACCTCTAAAGGAATAGGAAAAATGTAATAAGATAATAGAAGGAGAAAATGGAGTAACTTAAAAATAAGTCAAAGTCGGGCACCAGTAGTTCACACCTGTAATCCTAGCTACTCAGGAGGTAGAGATCAAAAGGATTGTGGTTCAGTGCCAGCCCAGACAAACAGTTCTTGAGACCCTACCTCAAAAATACCCAAGACAAAAAAAGGGCTGATATGATAGAGTACCTGCCTAGCAAGTGTGAGACCCTGAGTTCAAACCCCAGTACCGCAAAAAAATAAAATAAAATAAAAATCAGTCAAGAAAGGATAGAAAAAGGCAGAGAGTAAAAATGGGACAAGTAGAAAATAAGAGGATAATGGGATAGTTAAATTTAAATTTCAACACACCTAAGATATGAAATAGCAAAAGCCAAGCACTGCATAAAAAAGGAAAACAATAACCAGACTGGATGGTTATTGAGTGTTACTATGTGTTGCTGACAAGAGGCATGTCTAAAGGATGCAGAAAAATGAAAAGTTACAACAGCAGTAGCTAACAAAAAGAATATAACTGCGCAGATAGCAGAAGTAGATTCAGAGCAAGAGTACCATTAGACATGAAGAGAACTTTTTCTTATGACTAAAGGTTCAGCACTAGAAAGATGACATTCTAAATTTGTATGCATCTAATAACATAGTCCCAGAGGAGAAAATGATAAACCAAATCCTAGTGAGAAATTAATGTATCTTTCTCCATAACTAACTAAATAAGCAGATGAAACAAAGAACCATAGGAATTCAGAATATTTGAACAATATGACAATAAACTTGACCTGTTTAGAACTTTGTGGTCTTTAATTGTAGAACACATAGATCATGTATAGAAATGGACTGTCTGTGCTGCTTATGAGTAAGTCCTAACATACTTCAGAGAACTTTAATCATACAAAGTATGTTCTCTGACTTACAATAGAATTAAATTAGAAATGAATAGCAAAGAGAAAAGTTAAAAAAAACCTGTATACTATTGAAAATATAAAATTGTACTTTCAAGAACAATTGAACTGAATGGTAA